AAAACAGCATTTGACATAATTAAAGACAAAAAATAAAAATAAAAATGATTTTTTAATTTAGTATAAAATGAGAGAGAAATGAAAAATGACTTTGTCATTTTTTATTTTTTTATTTTCGTTTTCTCCTCTCAAGCAGAGAGAGATATTAATTATTTTTTTTATATTGAAAATAATCTCTTGATAAAATTACTAAACGCATTTTCAAAAATGATTTCTGTCTGAAATTAAAAACGTTTTTATTTCTATTTTCATACAAAAAATAAAATCATTTTAAAACGAGATCTAAACGCGAATATTCATTAATCACCTACCATCTCCATTGGAATTATAATCACAACCTTAAACTAAACTGAAAATTAGATATTCCAAACAATCGGATAGATAAATATAAATATATATTTAAAAACAAATACTAAATATAAAATATATAAGTACATAATTTAATTTTAAAAATCTAATCTAAGTCGTCATTATAAACCCAATAAGGTGGGCTGACAAAATTCCCACCATCCAAAACCGCTCATAACCAAATCTTAAATATACCCAAAATTTCTCACACTCAAGACGATACTAATATTGTTGAAATATTTTTATGTAGACTTTCATTATTATAATAACTTTAATATGAGTTAAAACATGGATAACATTATCATTAGGAACTTAATAATTATTTATGTATATTAAATATCAGTTTATAATGTAATGGACACTCCGATTTATTAACTTATTTGAGGTTTATAGACTTCCTCTCTCATGAATGATTTTATTAGCTAATTATATCAAATAGCCTCTTAACACAATTAAAGTAAATAAAATAGGCCAATTAAAGTGTGAGACCAAATGTTTGATCAAATAGAGGTGTGCTTAGTGTATGTGTGGTAGAGGGAGAGAAAGAAGAGAGTTTATTGAACCCTCCCTCAGCTCTGATGATTTTTCTGGCAACGTTTTTAATGATAATTGTCTTTTTTATCATTTTATGTGATGGTTTTTTTGTCATAACGAATTAAAATTTAAAAAGGGTGTGGAGAATAAAAATGAGTGTGTAAATAAAACTAATTTTCACATGTGGTGAACTTCTGGGCTATACAACATAAATTGACAAATTGACAATTACCTTTCATATTGACAAATTGACAATTACCTTCACTTTCACTTTAATGATCAACAATAAATACAGATTCCTGCATATAACAAATTCCTTGTAATTAATTATATGAGGATAAATTCGGTGAATTAAAATTTAAAAAGGGTGTGACGAATAAAAAGCGGTATGTGAATATAACTAATTTTTCTAATGTGGTGAACTTCTGGGTTATACAACATAAATTGACAAATTGACAATTACCTTTCATATTGACAAATTGTCAATTACCTTCACTTTCACTTTCATGATCAACAATAAATACAGATTCCTGCATATAACAAATTCCTTGTAATTAATTATATGAGGATAAATTCAGTCGTGTCTTTATTTAGAAATAAAAACAAATATCAAAATAACTTCCATAACTAGAATGTTTAAGATGCACAACAAAATAACATTAAGCAGCACATCTTTTTCTAGCAAATTTTTTTTTTCAAAAGCTATATATGCAACAAATTCAATATAAATAAGAAAAGAGTTAAATTCACAAAGATCCTCGAATTTTTTCTCGATTTAGAAATAGTTCTTGTGTTGAAAGTTATATCAAATTCAGTCTATGAACTAAAAAAGATATATCAAAATGACTCGCTCAATTAAATAAATGCATAAAAAACCTTTAAATATTAGAAATTATATCAAATTTAGTCACTGAACTAATAAAAAAATTTGCACTAGTCCATGTCTCAAATAAATAGATGGAAAAACAACCGATAGTTTAAGTCACGTTCTTAATCATTTGTTAAATAAATTTTTGTTTACTTTTAAAACAAAAAAGTGAGTTTTTTTATATCATTATTTTAATTTTTTGCTTATGTTAGAGGAAAATTTTACTTTTTCTCAAAAACTTAAAATAATTTTTTAATTTTTTTTCTCATGCTAAAAGAAATTTTCTTGTTTTGAAAATCGGGATAAGGTTTAAGATTAATCCTTATCTTAGAGCTGCAACCGAGGGATGCCGTCCTAATCTTGACCCTAACCTTGTTCTTCTTTATTTTGGTCATTTTTGGTAATTTGATGGTTTAATTTGGTAATTATTTTGGTAACTTGGTGATTTTTTTTGGAGTTATTCGTGTTGATTTCAGAAAGAGTAATTATATTTGCACCTACGAAATTCATCACTACCCCTACCAATTCATAATTTACATTTATTACAATTTTATCCTACAATAAAATTACATAAAAAACATTAACATACCCCACATTAATTATAAATAAAAATAAATTAGGTGATTATATATGCACTCCCTTTGTACTCTCCAGACCCCCTTCAATTAAAAATTTCTAATTACAAAAAACATCATTAAATAAAATGACAAAAAAGGACAATAAATCTAATTATATAATTTAATTTTATTACAAAAGAGAAACTAATGATAGAGTGTCATTTTTCTCTCTACACACCCTCCAATATCATATTGACAAATTATAAATTATTTATATTTCAAAAATCCAAAGCAAAACCTTTCTACCATTCAATCATTATTTTAAAAAATTACGTGGAGGTATGTTAAATTTTCTTTGCTATTGTTTTTCATCTTGTGTTTATATTTATTTACTAATCAATTTTTTAAGCTAATCATTTTATTTTTTTTTATTTTTTAATGTGAGATTATGGTTTCCCTTTGATCTATTCTCTCTCTTCTGTGGTCGTCATTTTTTTTGCTCAAACACTTGTGCACATAGTTGTATTATATATACCTTGTTGCACTTTGTCCGCTATGCAATCTGAGGAATGGCTGACTAAAATGCAACCCACTTTCTGTTTCTTAATTTTTTTTTTTTCATTTACTCTTTTATTTATTTTTTTAATTTTTTTGTGAATTGTTTTTTTTTTTTTTCTTTTTCTTTTTAATTGGACTTTTTTTTTACTGGTACTCCTAGATGAAAAATATACTACAAGTACTCCAAGATGTAATAGTATATTTACAAATATGTCCAGAAAAATGTAAAGATAGTGTCTATAAAATTTCATAATTTTTTGACGTCATTTTTATTTTATTTTATTTTTCAAAGATGAAAAATAAATAAAATCATAAAAAATATAATATTCATAAAAAAATGGCGCCGCTTGTTGCATTAAGTCCTAAAAATCGTATATTAATTATAGAATGCAAAACATAAACAAAAATGTAAATTTTTGACCCATCCCGGCCCCTAGACGCCCCACTACACAAGCCGGGGGCTTTTTAACAGCGTTTTACTTTTTTTTTTCATTTTTTAAGGCAATCTTTTACAGGTATGTCCAGAAAAATTAGTGGGGCACCCTGGGCCACCTCAAGGGCCGGGCTGGGTAAAAAATTTATATTTATATTTATATTTTGTATTCTAAAATTAATATATGATTTTTAGGAATTAATGCAACAAGCGGCACCATTTTATGATGAATATTCTATTTTTATGATTTTTTTTTATTTTCAACTTTAAAAAATATAATAAAATCAAAATGACGTCAAAAAATATGAACATTTCACAGACACGATCCTTACATTTTTCTAGGCATGCCAAGAAAAATGACAAAAAAAGTAAAACGCTGTCAAAAAGCCCCCGAGCCGCGTAGTGGGGCGCCCAGAGGCCAGCTCAGGGGCCGGAATGTGTCAAAAATTTATATTTTTAATTAAGTTTATATTCTAAAATTAATATATGATTTTTAGGAATTAATGCAACAAGCGGCACCATTTTTTGATGAATATTCTATTTTTTATGATTTTCAGTATTTTTCGTATTCAAAAAATATAATAAAATAAAAACGATGTCAAAAAATAATAAAATTTTGCAGACACGATACATA